AGCGAGCACAGGGCAATACTTGTTAGGGCACTGAATTGCGATGCAGCGGGAGCGAGTTCCTTCCCTGACTCCGCCACAGGCCTCCCTGCTGCTTTCTGAGCAAGCTGGGTGGACACGGCCACCCTTCTGTGTATAAAAGAATAAAAAAAAATGCAGTTTCCCAGGTATAGATCTTTAGCTCAAATGGATTTTGTTAGGAAACCTTCATGAATGCCTGTAAGGCTATGATAAAAGGAGCCTAACAAATATTTAAAATATTTAAATCTTTTTTGAAATTTCATAATACTGTATTTAATATGCCATATTTAGAATGGCATTTAAAATGCTATAGAAGTTCAAAGTATGAACACATATTCAAAAACTATCATTCCTTTCAGTAAAAAGGAAAAAAAAAAAAAAAAGGAGATGGTTAATTCTAGCCAGTCACAGGTCTAACTGATCCAAATTATTCGTCAAAACAGCAACACGCCACTTTTGTAGCAAGACTAAAGAACTATATACAAACCACATATTTACCAAATATGTATTGATATGTATGTATATCAAAATAAGTATTTCCAAAGTTTTGAGTGTTTTTTTTTTCTTATGGTAAGATTGGTAATATCCTCTAAAACTGCACCCAGAGTTACAGGAGAGAGAGCACTGAGGGGTGAAATCAAACTGGAATTGCAAGGAAAAGACACCAAGAGTAACAGGGACACAAGCTGCAGCAGGAAAGAGACAGTCCAGTTTCATCTGGCAGCATCAGAAGAAGTAAAGAAAAGAGGAAGATGGAGAAACACGGTGGACATCCACGGGAAAGAAAACTACAGGACAAAATTAAAGGAATAAGGAGAGTGGAAACAAACCCTGACTATGCTAGAAGGCACAGAAATGAGCCTCTAAGCTGCCGTCTACATCAGCCCTCAACTGGGGAACACAACCAACATCCCTGCGGAAAAAATAAATAAAAAATCAAGGGGGAAAAGGAAAATGGGAGGAATGGAAAAGCAGAATTCCAAAAGCACGTCTGTCAGAATTGTATTGCACAGCACTCATCTCACCATTTGGCTTATTCTTAGAAGTAGCTTGCTTATCTTCAGCAACCCTGAGCTGGAGAAACAGAGGGAAAAAAAAAAAAAAAAACCCAGAACATACAATACGAGAGTTATGTCCATATGGAAGTGCAAAATACAGTGAAAATCACCTTGTTTCATTATGCATAATAGCAAGCATTGTTGCACGAGTTTTATTTAACGTAACCTATCTCTGCTGGCATGAAAAGAACTATTTCAGATCCGAACTGTTTGCAAAGGGAGAGCTAACACTGGCAGCGGTGCTAGAAAAGAGATTACAGAGAAATTACAGAGAAAACGTAAGCGTCTCTTGTGGCAGAGACGCACATGAGCGGCTGCACCTGACCTCTGCCAGAGCGGCCCAAGCACAAACCAGGACCAAGCACCAGGTATAATGTCAAAGCAGAAGTGTTAGTTTTCGAACTGGCTAAAACAGTAATGACCCAAATAAGTATGGTGCCTGCATTTCTGACTGAATTCACCGTTCTTTGCCATTCGCTGTTCTCTGCGTTACACAGAAATCTCGTATAATGCAGGTGAAATGCAGGCAGCTTGCCCGGTTTTCCAGTTGCTCAAGCTTTTGGTTTAAAGATTAAATTACTTCATTAGTGCTGTATATCCTAAATCCTGTGACGCCTGAACACAAGTTTACTGACGCAGACAGAATTGTTTGCAAAAAATACTAGCATTTTAGCATCCTATGGAAAACAGCTCTCTTCAGGCTTTTTTAAAATAAGGTTTCCATATAACATATGCTAAGCATTTGCATGCATATGCATTTTGCGCATATCATATGCACAGAAAATCTTCTTTTTCCTTAGCTTAGACGTGCACTTTCACAAAGTAACCTGCTCAGCTATGTGGGCTAGGCACAAATAGCAGCAAAGAAGTTTCTTAGTTCATTCTCTACCTCAGGGTTTGCTTTCCCAATTCTGCCTGCAAAGTCTGCCGGTGTTTCACAACCTTTTCCTGCAATCACTCCAACGCAGGTGCCATGAGTGCCTGCACACTCCTGTTTGCTAAGGGTTAGTGCAAGGGCCTGGGAGACAGGGAAGGAAGCTGAGAACAGAAAATAAAGGTCCAACGCATCTTGTTTAACATAGAGACTTTTCTTGATCTGGTGCCAAATGCTTTGCCCGGGGCCGCCCAGGAAGTTTTTCTATGCCCAGGGGAAAAGGCAGGGAGCAGCCGGCCCCTGGTTTCGGGGAGAGACAGAGACGCTCTCAGCACACGGCAGGTGAAGATGCTCCACGCACTGCAGGGTCCCTAGCAGAGGACCAGAGCAGAACTGATCTCAAAACTCCTCATTTTAGGCTCAACACCCGCCGTGCCCCTTGAAACAGACGTAGGCCAGCAAGTTCACTGATCAGAGAGGCAGAGGCAGGGGCCGACTTCTGCTCTCACTGACGAAACAAGTGCAGGTGCCAACACCCGGGCGAGAGGGAGCATTTCCCTCTGCAGGCACCTGCCGCGCAATTACGGAAGAAATTCTTCCTTCTGGGGTTGCTGCTGCTTTCCTTGAATTCAACTTTAAAATCGCTCCAAATTACCATTAATTAAGTGAAGCACTATGAAGTCCATGCAGCTTTACAAAGCTCATGCCTGGCAATTAGTAATAATAAAATTCTAGGTAGTGAAGTATACCAAGAACTGTTCTTGAATTTGAGAAATGGGGAAAACCCTGTAGCACCATGACAAACTTTTTCCTTTGCTATTTAAACAAAACAACAACAACAAAAAAAAACCAAACTAAATAAAGCAATAACCTACTTCTAATGCACAAGTGTCAATCAGCTGTGCCATGAAATAAATGTTTTCAAACTATCTGCAAAGGACACAGAACAGTGTCTTCTGCTACGCATCAAATGATACATTAAATTTGCTCACTGTTTAACAAAGAAAACTCTTAACAGAGCTATTAACGATTTAGGGACACAGAGATAAAACAGATCTAATTTTTTCTAGAATTGTAAAGTCGCGGTCTTTTCAACCTTTTGCTTTCATAACTGCAAGCTAATCCGGGCAATAAGGCAGAAGTTTATACTGGTCTCCTCCCCTGTGTGAAGGAACACGCTTGTGTCTTAGTCCTCTTAAACGAAAGATTTCCTGACAAATGACATACACAGGTCACCTTTGGACTCCCAAGGGAACCAACAGCACGAAATGAAGCCGCCTTCTCAACAGCTTGCCTGGTCCTAGGGTATTCCTTCACTGAATGAGCAACACCCAGGGCTCAATACCCACCTATCTCCAGCACTGAGGCAAGTAATAACACAAAGTTTGGGTTGCAGCCAGACTGAGAACACTGAAATTCCACGAAAAAGCAACAGTATTTCAACCCTTAACTAAATTAAAGGTAAAATATACCACCTTTCTTTGCTAATGCATATGACAGCTTTGCAATCTGTCTGAGCAGCAGATTAGCACTCACCCTGTACTTTACATCACCCCAGGTGTTCCTAACCTTAAGACTAAATTCTCCTCCTTATGCCAGGTCAGGAACAAGCTGACTGAAGTTAACATTGCTGGTTTCTGCACACTAATTTCTGTTCATATATGCGATATCAGTTTGACCATGCAAGCCACTTCAAGTCTAAAATGATAAGAACTGACTGTACAGATACCATGGAGTTTGAGTGAATAAAGCCTCTGAGATTTCACTTGAGAAGGATGATTTCTCTTCAAAACACATCTGTAAGTTTGCATCCCAGATCTCTTCATGAGAATTTCTGAGAACAGCTAAATCATATGGACATACATGGAAGACACAACACATCTATCGCTGTTCTTTAAAAGAATAAGAGTCATAATCAAACAGACTGGCTTTGAACACAGGTCAGTCACCTTACAACACGTCAGCAAGCTACATTAAGCTCTGAAAGTCAAGGAAATAACTGTTCGTGTGGCATTCCTATTACTACAGCAGCGGTATTTTCCCCTTCATCCATCACTCCTCGTTCTAGCTTTCTCGTTACGCACTGTAGACCTTCCCTCTCCTCCATTAAACTCATAAACTACGGAACTCATAGACTACGGAAACAAAACCTATGGAGACTACTGCATTCCGTCAACACGCACTTTCAAACTGTCTTCTGTTCAGCTGGCAATGAATTTATGACACAAACATAATAACCAAAAATAAGGGGCAGAGCTCCCGAGCCGCCTGCCGCCCTTCGGGATCCGTGCGGGCAGGGTGAAGTAGAGCAGGAAATCGCTGCGAGGGGACAGGGCAGCTCTCCAAAAGTGCCCCGCTTGCCCGCACACCAGAGAGACCGCTCAGGACTTCACCTCGGTGCCGCTTTCGGGGCTTAATTAACGGCCTGATTTGCAACGTTATATTCCGTATTTATTCCCTAAGGGCCCCAAGCAGCTTCAGCCAGGGCTGTGGGCTACGGCTCTGTACGGATATTAAATAGCTGCCACTCCAGGGAACGCGGAGCAGCAGACGGCCCAGGATCCGTGCCCACCACCAACACAAGCACACAGAAGAAAAAAAACCAAAAAAATTTAATGAAGGAAAAAAAAAAGTATTTTTAATGTGAGAAATGCCTTTTTTTTTTTTTTTTGGAAGGTGTTTTTCTTTTCCCTTCTCCCCCACCACGGCAGGGCAATGGGGGTAAGGGATTGAGAGCTGGATCAAGCTTTCCAGGGCGCCGGGAGCTGCCTATTCCCGCCCGCACGGAGCAGAAGCCAGAGACTCTGTGTAGGGGCCGGGGGGCACCCGACTAGGACACAGCTTGCAAAAATAAAGTAAAAATAAATAAACATAATAAAGCAAAAGCCGCCAATACACAACACACACGCACGCACTTTCCCAAGCGCCGCTCCTGAGCAGGGGCGCGCGCCCGCCCGCCCCAGCTCCCTGGGGCAGCTCCCCGCAAGGCAGCCCCCGCGCAACCCCCTGCCCCACGGCGGCCCCACGGAGGGCGGCGCAGGACTCCCTACCCGCTGGGGGGCTTCCCGGCCCCCGGCTGCAGCAGCGTCTCCATGGGCGGCCGCACGGGCGCACGCCGCGCCAGCGGGGCGAAGGTCGGCGGAGGGAAAACGACACGGGAGGAGGTGTTCTTTTTTTT